TCCTTCACATATTTAGAGTTAGGAAGAAAGTCCTAGGAAGAAAGTCATACAGGCTGGGCAATGCTGGGAGTTGTAGGACTCCTTTCTTTTGAAACATGATTGTGCCTATAATGGTTTTTGTCATTTCCTCTTAACTTTGCCAATCCAGGACACCAACTGATTCCTCCTAGCTCAAACTGAGCAACTTCTCACTTCAAATCTGGAGCAAGTCCAGGACATTTCAGTGTACAGCCAGAAGTTTCTCTTACATTGGTTCAAAAGTGTCTAAAATTGGCTCCCTAACTTTTAAAAAACCCCTTCATACATGATGTATTTTAAAAAACAGTAAAGCTAAAAAGTTGGCATTCCCAATAAACTCATACATATTTGATTTTGGGTGTCGCTGCTTTCCCCTTTGGGGTGGGGGGAATCTCATCAAACAGATACAGAATCATAGAAACATGTAAGAGTAGAGTTGGAAGGGACCAGAAGGCCATCGGGTCCAACCCCCACTGTTGCAGGACTCCAGGTTAAGCCATCCTTTTCAGATGGCTGTCCAGTTGCATCTTGAATGCCTCCAGTGTGGGAGAGCCCACAACCTCCCTCGGCAATTCATTCCATTGTCATACTACACAGTCAGGACACTTTTCCTGATGTCCAGCCAGAACCTGGCTTCCTGTAACTTGAGCCCATGGCCTGCATTCCGGAATGATCCAGAAGAGATCCTGCCCTTCCTCTTTGTGACAGCCTTCCAAGTACTTGAGGAGTGCTACCATATCTCTCCTTGGACTTCTCTTCTCAAAGCTAAACATGCCTAGGTCTTTCAATCTCTCCTCACAGGCCTTTGATTCCAGTCCCTGCATCATCCTTGTTGCCCTCCTCTGGACCCTTTCCAGCTTGTCTGGGTTTTTTTTTTTTGTTTGTTTTTTTGTGGTGTCCAGACCTGGATACAGTACTCCAGATGAGGTATAACCAGTACTGAGTAAAGGAGAACTAGTATTCAAGTGATTTGGAAGTGAAATGTCTATAACTGCAGCCTAAAATAGAATTTGCCCTTCTTGCAGTCACACCACATTGTTGACTCATATTCGGCTTATGATCTATATGAAATTCTACAGAAATATTTAGAAAAATTTCCCTTCATAGAGCATTAAACTTGCTTATATTGGGCATGTAGTTTCTTCTCTCAGTAATAAGATCTATTGTACGCATAGAATGCAAAAGAAGCAGAAAACTGGCTTGGTTGCTAACAAAATATCAAATTACCTTTTATCAGGGTCACTGCAAGAGAGCCATTCAAGAGTTGGTTTAGGGTGTCCTTCTGATACACAGCTTACATTTCTTGAAAGTTCATTTTTTCTGAAATATGGCTTTCTTGGGCTTCCTATTGAAAATAATGAAAACTGTTTATTGATTGAATGATGCTTGTATTCATTTTGCTTGATGGTATACTTCGATGATGATACGACTTTACTAGATACCTTTCTTGCAGGCTGAGTTCATTAAGCTGACATGTTCATTGGAATGTAGCCAGTAGCTGGTTTTGGAGGCAATTTAAATAAGGAAAATAATGTGGGATTTTCTTTTTAAAAATCCACCTTCAGCTCTGCTTACCTTGATCAGAAGCAGAGTCCTGTAGGATCATTACTGGCAATGAAAATTACATGTGCATGGTTCCCTGATCCACAGAGGTGAACTAGGTGATTCTGTAAACCCTGGACTAAAGATGCGAATGGATTCCCCTTTAGACAGACATATAAAGCACCTCACTGTGAAGCAGCAACTAAGATTTTGCTACCCTCCTCCAGCCATTACACTTTAAGACTGCTTCTACATTTTGATATATTAGAATGACAACAAAACTGTCTGCCAATGTATTTTTAAGCTCACTCTTCCTGACTACAGGAATAAAATGGAGCTTGCTTTGGATGTCCCATTGCCCTCATCATTTGGGATTAGGGAAATAGACTGCAGAATCTTGAATGTGCAACCCTAGTGGGCTCGTTCCAGATTGGGAGGGCCTCTGTCAGGAGCAAACGAACAGAGACCCCTTGCACCTTAGGCTAGATTGATGATTCCAACTGTGCTTAGTTTAGAGTAAAACAGAAAGATGTAGCCACCTTGAAGAAATATCTGTTGGGTCTTTGATAACCTAGTGCAATACATTGTTATTTTCGAAGGGCGAGGCTGGGACGGGCCACAATATCAACAGATTAGGATGACATTTTAGGCATCAGACCACCTTAAGGAGCACTCTTTGACTTGGAGCAGTCCAAAGTTTCTCCCTAAGATGAGCCTACACTTAAAATGAAACAAGTGATGTGGGGAAAATGACACATGATAACAGAACTGAAAGAAAGGCAGCCGGATATTCAAATAAGGAAAGGGGAATGCCCCACCAATCCATGCTGTTTCATTCATCCAAATTCTGGTGCACAGGTGCTCATCATTCCTATCCTCCAGTCCCTCTTCAAGCTGCGGCCCAGCTGGCCTTCTCCCTCTGTGCCATACTTACTCCTTACATAGAGTGTAAATATCACTGTGTAGTTCTTTGTTTCAGTTTTAATGAACAGTGTGTGATTTCCTGCCTGTGTCTCCCAGATATTACGAAACTCCACAGATACGACATGCCTGTAAGACAGGGAAGAAAGGTTCCATTAAAAAAAATAATTATAGGGTAAAGGGAAGCAAACCTAAATGATAAACAAGGAAAGAAAAAGCAGACCAACCTTTATTTGCTTTAATGAAAAGGGCCAGTGTTGTGTAGTGGTTTGAAAGCTGGGCTGGGAGTCACAAGATTTGGGTTCTAGTCCCCACTCAGCCATGACTTAGAGCCAGTCACCTATTCTTAGCCTACCTCACAGGGTTATTGTTGTGAGGATAAAATGAGGAGGAAAAGAATCTTGTAAGCCACCTTGACTTCCTTGCAAGATAAAGGAAGACAGGATATAAATGTAATGTAAACTACTAATAATTGTATCAATGCTATTCATATTCTTTTTTCCTGCTAGGGACCCAAGATAGGTTACATAATATTTTGCCTCCTCTCCATTTTACCCTCATAACAATCCTGTAAGATAGGTTAGGCTGAGACAGGAACTGGACCAGAGTGACCCAGCAAGCTTCATGCATGAGTGGGGACCAGAACCAGGACCTTCTCACTTCCAATCCAAGACTTCAGTGTTGCATGACACTGGCTCTCAGCATTGTGTGCTTGGGACCAGATTAGATATCACGGGAATAACTCCATAGAAGAAAGACATAGCCAGATTGGGCTTTTTCTTTGCTTCACTGTCTGGAAGTTTCCAATGTGCCCTTCCACAAGGGGTATTTTTAAAATTCTATTGCAACTCCAGCTGTGGCAGCTGTATTTCTACTTCATGGGCAGGGAACCTCAAGTACCAGCTCGTGTATGTCCAGGGAAGCTACACTGGGTCCTCCAGCATTGGTGAACTCTGGAGAATCCCTAGTTGGGACCCCTGAGGACCTTAATCCCCCTGTACAGTCAGTCTGAAGAGAAGGCCAAGTCTGCTCAGCCCGACAGTGTGCCAGTGCATCCTATGTACGTCGTTCTGTGTCTTATCTGTTACTGGCATCCCATCTTTTAATCATTGTAAACTGTCCTGAGACATTTTATTGGGAAGGATGGGATAAAAATGTTTTAAATAAATAAATATTTATGCAATCTTTTCCCAGATGTTCATGCCTTCAATATTTTCTTGAATCAGAGGTAATATGAAAGGTTCCTTTTTTAAATCATTACCTGTTCTCCATATCCAGAGAGGAATTACAATCAGTCTGGGTCTCTTTAAAAATCCAAAGACAGGTGATGTGCTCTGAAATATTTACTATTGCTTTTATGTTGACGTTTTCAAGCACATCAACTTCTACATCCTTGGCTGTTGTGTAGACATTCTCGGTGCTTTGAGAATTCTGGGAACAATGGAGGTCTTCAACATTGCTTTCAATCTGCATTGGAGGGAGGGAAAATATATATTCTAGCCCATTACACTATTTTAATATCACTTATTCTCCTCAGGTATTTATAGACTTATAAATACTTAAAGGCCTCATGACCCCTTTCAGATAACCCATTTCTAACTGCTCTAATCAGCACAGAATACTGAATTTCACCCACCAACAGGCAAAACAAGCAAAAGAGAATGTTTTGTTGTGATATCCTTAGATATGAAGCCATCTGTCTAACAAGGAAGAGCTGGAGACAAAGTGCAAGCTCCTGGCTGACCTGCCTGAGTCAGGGCAGGCTGTCTCATTAGATGGAGATAATCTGGAGACTGCGGAGTCCAACAACCCTTTATGTCATCCTGACAGTAGACAGTTGTAGCAGTTGTAGCATGTCCTCCAGCACTGGTGAACTCTGGAGAGGACTTTATACTCCCTGTACAGTCTGAAGAGAAGGCCAAGTCTGAGAGTGTGCCAATGCATAGGCTGCCAGCCTATGCAAACAGTTATGTGTCTTATCAGTTGCCTATATCCCTTCTTAAACAAATCATACGCTAAATTGGTACTTCTATGCTTGGCCACTCAAATGCCAAATTGGCGTCCCATCAGATCCACTTTCATAATGAGTTTGATCCAGCTGGAGTACAGCACAGGCTCAATTCCAACACCCAGTTCAAATGATTTTGAAGAGCAAGGTTGGAACAGATCCCTCCAGATTCTCTAGATCAGAGCAGACAATGCTGAATAAAATGGGCTAACAACCTGAATCTGTTTAAGGCAGCTTCATGCATTCCATTTAATACCAGTACATGTTTAAATGAACTCAGTTGCCTGAATTCTATAGTGGCCATAGTTTTTCAGGCTCCCTTTTACTGTGTTTATAGGGTTATTGTGACTAGTGAGTCAGAAAACCAGCATGATGACTCCTTGTTCTCTGAGCGACAGCCAACTCCCTGACACGCTGCACCTGGTAAACCTCTCTTTTTTAAAGACTGTGCTCTCAGATTGCTTCACAGAATGAGCAGGAGGCAGAAATTGGGAACTGGGGTGTGTGTCTTGTTGAAGGGGAGAGGGTGATATCAGGACAACAGGAATTCCACAAAGCAGAGAGATCAGGCCCAGAGCTGTTCCTGGTGAGGACAAGTTTGAGAGACCAGCAGGGGGCACTGTGGGGGGGGGGGGAGTCCATCTAACACTGGTGATTAAAGGGGAAGGATAATATGACATGTCCCCCTGGCCTTGGCTCTCATTTCTCTACTATTTAACAGCCAAAGATCTGTTCTAGTGTTCAGCAGGGGATTTTGATGAGGATGGATCCAAGCTACTTCCTGAGGGTACATTAGTTGGTGCCTTATTCACGGCCTTTCTGGCCAGAGGACTCAGCCCTGTCTTTATACTCTGGCCCAGAGGATGAATCCCCACCAGAACTTCCAAGTCCCCACCCTTGCAAAAGTTTCAGGCTGCTAATGAGGCAAAGACATTTTCAGTCTTCTCCTCTAGGATGGGCAAAGCTGATCACACAATGACCAGGTTTGCATGATCACAGAAAAAACAACAACCATGGAACCTTTCCCCCCTCTCTGTGCATGCTGGGAGAATGTGCACAATTACCTCCAGCAGCATCATTTGCTGCAGCATGCAAACCAGTCGGAGCACCTTGTTGGAGTGGCTAACGAGCTACCCAGAGCCCATTGTTTGCTGTAAGATTTTGGGTAGCTTGCTATCCACAACAAGCCACCTTGTCCAGGTTCACATGACCTGATAAACCATGTCATGGTTTGCTAGGGTAACTATGCTAATTCACCCAGCATGCCAGTATGCACAGGGAGGAGAAATAAACCACTATGTTCCATTTGCCCTCCATGAATGTGCAAGTCAGGTCTACAGGCTTTGTCCACCTACATAAGACTTCCATTAGTATTAATGGAGACAATCTCCAGTTCCAAACAATCACAGGGATGATGGGGGGAGAGAGCCACAGTGCCTCTTTATCCTGCCTCTTGCATACTACATGATTTGCCTAGTCACCTTGCAGCATGCAGCTTCCTGTGTTGTCTAAACATGGTGAGATATGCAGCAGGGGTGGCTTGGAAACCACCCCAGAATCCCTGCTGTGCACTTGCAGGGCTTCGACAACATGGGATGCTGAGTGTCGTATGCGTAATCAAGTGACTTATGTGGCATGCAGGGTGCAGAGAAAAGAAGCCACTGTGGCATCTCCTCCCAAACCCCCACCCTGGCCCCCATTTTTGTGCAGACATGGCCAACATTCTTTTTCAGGTGTACTAGGAGAGAATTCCAGCCAGCACAATCCACTTGGAGCTATCCAAGGTCCTATATTCTTCTTGCTTTGCTTCTGAGTCCTGCTGGATGCTACTAGCTGTGAGCCTCAAGGGACCACAGAATGGGATAAAAGGAAGCAGTGAGGACTAATGAATGCTGAAATTGCCAACAAACAGAGTTGGAGTTGCTGTCAGTGCAGAAGAAGGCTAGCCAGGCTCTGAGATCTGAGAAGAGGGCTGGGAGGGAGCTGCGACAGAGATGCAGAACAGCAACGTATTATGCAGTGATGAGATGCAGGAAAGTGCAAAAGTGTGATGGGTTCTTGGTGGGGACAGCCAGAAACTGGAAAGGGAGAGCTAGCGAAGAGTGTTAGATAAGACAAAACTTGCAAAGGGTAAAAAAGCAATGGTGCCAGTGTTGGGTTTGAAGGGACAGACCTTATTCTAGCCAAGTAGGTGAAAGGAAGGATAGAAAAAAATGCAAAGGAAGGGTCCCTGCATTCTGGGTTAGTGAGCAACAATTCCAGAGGGCACAAAGGAATGGAAGCAGTGAGGGGGCTGGCAGTATATAGGGGCAAGAGTTAGGGAATGGATGTATCCCTCCAGCTCCTCCTCGTCTCCCCCTCCTCCTCCAGCAATGCATATAACAGGAATGGAAGCCCTGACCCAGCCAAGGGACCCCACCAGGAGCAAAAAGCAAAATCCCTATTCAACCATCGCTTTCCCCCTATCCCACACTCCCCACTAATGGGGCCATTAATTTGGATTAGGTCTCTAACAGTTATTTTTAAGTAACAAGGAAAAAAGACAATGCTGCAACCTTTCTAGTTTGGTCCTCACTGACTGATTGGTGATGCCATGCCCTTTCTATATCCCAAGGATGTGGCTGAGAACGTTGTAAGAGGTTTGTGGAAACTGAATAAAGATTAATGCAATGCTAGCCGCACATGTCAGTGTTGCCAGCTTCACACTTGACAACTGAAAACAACCTCTTTTGCTATTTCTTTCACTGCTGAGCAAAAAGTTCTGTGAATAGCCTGTGACAGGCATGCCCGAAGCCCAGCACCCTGGATATTTGACTGCCCTAAATCCAGCCTTGGAGGAGGACGTTTCTTCTGAGTGGATTATACAGAAGGGACTGTATAGGAACAAAGGAGATCTTGATTCTCAAAGCTTGTAATGTTTAGGAGGAAGGTGGCAATGGTGACATCTAAGTAGGACTGCGAAGCAGTTGTCCACAGATCCCCTTACAGGTAAAAAAGAAAAGGAAAGGAAACATATTTTGTAGGCACAAATTGGCCCTGAAATTGCCTACTTGCATTACTAGATAATGAAAGATTAAATGTTGTTTATCCTACTTTATTGCAAACTTTGTAGAGTCAAAGTGGTTAAAAATAAAACCACAGGTTTCGTTGCAAAAAGGAAACAAATTCAGTATTTCCCAAAAAACAATCTTTTGGTTAAACATAGTTTAAAACATAGTGTAAAAAACCACAACATTTTTAGGAACTGTTATCTGTGGAACGGCAGCCACATCAGATGGCAAAAAAGAAAAAGAAGAATCAACTGATGATAGAAGTCATCACAAAAAGTACGTTGCAAAAAAGCATTCTCAAAAGGCTGAGGAGATAGACTACAGATCCCACTGAATTGCAACATTTTCTGGAACAAAGTATTAACATAAAATTGTAGAAAGGTTCAACTTGAGGTTTATTCCAGATTTATTTGAATTTATTTGAACTGTGGCACATTGTTGGTTATGTGCTCATAATTCATCCATTTGCTTTATCATCTTTCAGCAAAAGCTTCCAAGATAGCTAACAATAAACACATTTTAACAAAATCAAACCATTAACATTACATGAAAAGAATGTTCTTAAAACTGTAAAACACTAAATGCAGTGATAAGAGCAGAGAAAAAGCAATATATACACAGAGCAGATTGTTACGATAGTCTGCTGCAGCTGAAAAATGAAAACTGTGCTAACATGACATGACAAACAAACCATTGTCACTGAAGGTCACGATGGGTTCTTGTGTTGTGTGAAGTCAGACCACCTCAAGCTGGGTGGCTTGTTGGAGGGCAACAAACCACTCCATGGCTTGTTAGGCTGGTCACACACATATCAGGTTGTGGTTTCATTTGCACCTGGGTGGGCAACCCCATCATAGGTTGTGGGAAGTGGCTAATGAGCTGCTTATCCCTGCTAAATACCATGCTCATCTGATGCCAAAAGGTATGCAAATGAGGTATCACCTAAGCTTTTTGTGGGGAACTCTCACATATCCAGAATGCGCCAATCAAAAATGGAGCTATCCACCTTCTCTCTATAGGTGGAAGGCTCCAAAACAAGACCTTTGATACTGATATTTATGACCTGGCAGTTTTTAGAAGAGTGCATTCTTTTACCTCATGAACAGATGAAGGACCTGATGAACTTGAAATAAGACCATTTTGCTTGGTTAAAAGGCAGGTAATCTCTGAAGTTCTTCTGCTTATCACTGCAGTGGATGCCATGGAAGTAATCAGAACTGCAAAACAGAGCAAAACCAAAAATGTAAGACTTTAGTGGTATCAGGAGATTGAGGATAATAATACCCAAATGTGCTGTTGTACTTTTCCTGCCTCTCTGTTTCTTTTCCGTGGTGCAGCATAGTTCTCAGACTGTAAATCTGCAAGCAGGGTGTCTATGGGTTTTTTTAAAAATAATAGTAACATTATTTAGTAAACTTCAGAAAAAACACAAGCAGTCTCAGGAAAACAACCCAATGCCATTCCATACATTTAGGGTAGACAGTGAAATGAAATGCTCACACATATGCATACTTGCCAGTACTGCTTTAGCATGCCACATCACATGAATTAAAACAATGGGTTCCTTATAAGATATTAAGCAATGCCCTCACATTTTGGAGACATTCCTCAAGAATTGGGTATAGAGAGCACTTGACAACTAAGGGTATCAATGCTCACAGACCTACCCAGGGAATGGAGGCTGAGGAGTCAGTTAAGCAGACAATCCAATGGGGATGATTACTTGTTTGATTCCAATGGGGAGAGCATAAAGGCCCTCTTCACCTCAGGCTGCTCCTGCCCTCCATGCCCCTCTTGCACTGCAAAGCAGCTGGACAGCTGATTTCAGCCCCCTCACTATGGCTTGTCAGCATGGGAGGGAACAGGGCTGGTGAGCTGCCAGGATACAACATATAAGCGGTTTGCCTGGCAGCCTTGCTCTTTTCCCCTCCACTCCCCACCCTGTCCCAAAACTCCCTTTCCAGAGATACTGTGACAACCTCAGAGAAACAGCTGGCACGGTTCTTTCCACAGGGATTGTGAGGTGGATAGGTAGGAGGATGGGGAACCTGAGCATGGGCCCCCAGGTCCAAAGGCAGAACTCTGCTGTCAACCTCAGATCTCAAAATCTGAAAAATCCCATGGCCCCTAGGTGTTGTCAAGGGGCATAGGATTATTCTGCCTATCCTTTGCTCCAAGCAAGTTTGGTCCAAAACAGGTTCTCCTCAAATATTACTTTCATTCAAATTTGGTGGAAACTATTCCCTGGATGTGCAAATGTTCATCAGTCATGTGATGTATAGCACCATCCTTTGATGTCCACAGCATTCACATTCTATTTAAAGCACACATTTAAAAGTATTGTGGGTTGGTTTAAAACTGCTTATAAGCTTCTCCAGTTCTTAGTGGTTACAAATGACTTTAGTATTTTTAGAATTGTTTTATGACTGCAATTATCAATCGCATAGCTGCCTTGGAAGGGCTTTGTTACAAAAAGTAGCATACAAGTACTTTAAGGTATCCACCAGCATCTGCTCCTCTGCTTGCAGCATTATTATCTCCTCATTGTACATTACAGCCTATTGCTCATTTCCTTAAAAAGGAAAGTTCTGTGGCTATTCTGTCTGAGAGGGTTTTATGCACATCATAGATATTTGTGGATGAATAGCCACACCCTAATCCAAATGGTACAAAAATGAGACAAAAGGAACCAGAAAAAAGTGAAGTAAGAGCAAGGAACTAACCGCAGGTAAAGTGAAGTACACTCAGCTTTGACAGGTTCAGACCAGCTTGTACTTAACTACAATTATTTTAACACCAAATCTAGTTCTAAATAATTCACAACAGTCCTTCCTGCTGTGTTTTTGTCAGATCTTCTTAAGAGGGTTGGTTGGTCAAGGTGCAAGTGATACTAAAGTAAGCACAATAGCAATTGCATGCTATGAAAAATGTTGAGAATAAGTTCAGTTGCAGGACTAGCCTTGCCTTTAGGGATAGTGTAGCATCTGCTTCAAGGGGTGGGTGCTGGGTAGTGCCCCTTGATAATTCCATCCTCCTGAATCATGTACCTCTGGCAAAGCTCGCTTGTGGCTGGCTAAGCTGGATGGTTGTCATGCCTATTTCCAACATGTCACAGACAGAGCTATTGGGAGAGGTCCTGGCCAGATGTGGAGAAGAAAGGCAACCAGTCCTAGCCACATACTCGACCATCAGGATGCATTGCCTATGTATGTGATGCTTCCGGACTCAACCAGTATTGCATTGCAGAGTTTGTTTGCGCAGGAGCAGGAGTTGCATGGGTGTTGCTATTGTGCTGGGGAACAGAGTTGCTCTGTGCTCTTCCAGTAGTCTGTTGCCACCAGGTGCTGTGGAAGATGTCATTCCGTTACTATCACACAAACAAATTAAACTGCCAGCCAGGTTAGCTTCTGTACATGGAATGGGGGGAAGGCAGGGATAATTTTGTTCTCTTCCTTATATAGTAAAATGTTTTGGACTGGTCCTACTCAGTTTAACATTTGTTCTAGGGTGGCCATCTATCCTACTTACAGAGGGCAGTCTTGAATTTTGAAGGTGGCCCTTATTTGATGGATTGTCCTTTCCAAGTCTGGCTTGATGCCAAAGGATCATAAGAAGCGAACATAAGCAAGGGCCCTGAAGGTGCCCATCAGCACTAAACATCTGGACAACTGACTTAGCAGACCTGCAGATCACCTGGTCACAGTCTTGTCTGCCATGCTGAAGTGTCTTGTATTGAAGTTGAAATGTTTATATCTAAATTTATGTCTATACATATAAACTTGCATGTGCCTTTTGCCATAGTTGTTTTGTCCTATTTGTTGGTGGTGAAATTCCTTTCTCCTAGCAGTAGGTTAAATGGACACCATAGTTTGTTTATTTTGTCAAAGTGCCATTAAGGAAGGAAAGATTTCTGACCAAAGTTGCAGCCAGAATTTCTGATTTCATTCTTCCTGGCAGCAGCAACATTGTCCCCCAGAGCCTTCATAAATGACCATTGCCTTTTAAGAAATTTTCTGAGGTGCTCTCATGTATATATAGTTTCATGTATTTATTGATTTACTGCATTTCTATATTATCAAATAGCCAAAGCTTTCTAGATTATTGTTATCAGCTTTCTTTGGGCCCTGTGATCAGGGCAAAAGGCAAAATATAAACACCTCAAATGAGCAACCAACCAACCAAACAACCAACCCTAAACCCTTTTAAATGGTTACATATTTTTATAATCTTATGTAGCTCACCCTGAGATTATCTTTGGGGATGAAATAGTAGCACAGACATTTAAAAACCAATCAATTAAAAATTGATCCCCATAGTTCAAGTCCTTTTACAAGCCCACAGTAATGTGAAACACTCAAGTTTATCTAACTGCCATACTGTACTGCTATTTTTTCTCTGCCTGGTGCAGCTTTATTTTGATCATTAGCAGAGCAAGTTGCCCACAGCAATGCCCTATGCATGGGAAACAAGTGTCTTGGTGAAAAGGCTATGCTAGAACCTTTCTCCCCGATACCTACTGCTCTGTGCTGAGGACGACTTATACCAGTATCAAATGATGAATGGCTACTCTTTTTGGTGCCAGGTTAAAACCTTTTTATTCAATCGTTATTTTGAAAATTAGTATTTTAATGTTTTAACAGTCGCTTTTTATTTATTTTTACTGGTATGGATTGTTTTATTGTTATTTTGATTTTAATGATTGTAAGCTGTCCTGAGATGCCATGCATAATGGGCAGCATATAAAAGTTTTAAATAAATACATGAATACATAAATAAATAAGAAACACAACATTTTGTGTGAGTTCAGTGAAGCTTAACCAAAGTCAGCCATACCCAGGCTGGTGCATCTGGCCGGGAATGGTGAGGAGTTGCAGTCCAAATCATCTGGAGGGCATGAAGTTGTGGAAGACTGGTCAAAGTCGAAAGAGCTACCGTAAGTTATAGTGCTTAGACAGGAGATCCTGGCATGACACCCTCCTTCACACAGCTGCCATGCTTTTTCCGCTCTTTCTCTTATATGCCTCCTCAAGGGGGCCTTGCTTTCCCTCACCAGCTGCCACAAGTCCAAGCTCAAGCAGTAGTGCTTTATCAGGACTTTCCATCTTTTCTGTGACCCTCTCAACATTGGTTTGAACGGTAGGACAAGTAAATGTATTTTAAAAATGTATCTTGGTTGAGCATCTTCTTGCTTGTATCCTCTCCCCTTGTGAAATGTAAACTCTAGTGCAAAAACAGCTGCCCAGGATACAGTGCCAGCTCCTTTTCTTCTAGTTTCTAGCTATGCATTTGTTTGGGCTTTACTCAATTGGTGCTGCTTACGCCTGCTGCCTGCTTTGTAACTGGAATAGCTGCCTGACATCTTTGCACTCTTAGGCTTCTGCTGATTATAGCTGCCTTCGCTCCCTCTGATGGCCCAGCTGCCCTGACACAAATGATTCAGGAAGACACAATGCCCACTGGCCCCAGGAGAGGTGATGCAAATGTTGCATCTCTTTTGTGCCTGGTGGACCCTGGAACTTTGGAAATAACCCTTAGCTATTGGAAAGCCAAAAGCAAGGGAGAACATGGGCACTGGCCATTGTGATGCAAACAGTGCTTGTCGTTAATGGCAGTGTTGAGTAACAGCAGAGCAGGTCCTTCTCTGTGGCTTTTTCTGGGTTCTGGCTCTCCCTGTCAAGAAAGCATCCAGGATAGGCCTGGCTGGAGCCCTGCTGAGGGTCCCTATCCAGCAGGGCTCCACTGACAAGATACCCCTGGAGTTGCTGCTTCTCTTCACTATGGCAACCTGCTTATTCACTTGAAGAATGGTAGAGGTGAGGAGAAGGAATAGATGCCACTGCCTGCCTGCTCACTGCCCCTCTATCTCTCAAGCACGCAAGTGCTAGCAAACCTTCCACTGACATTTTTATGCAGGTAATTCCCAAAGGAATGCTGGGTCAGCCTTTTGCAGCAAAAATAAGAAAGCATCTTGTGGATCCTTAAAGAGGGACACAATTATGCATCCAAAAGCTTTTGTGGATAATAGTCCAACTTCATCAGTCATAAGGAATATAATGCAGAGTTTCAGGTTTATATAGGGTACATGGGGTGAGTGGGCGGTAAACAGAGACAGAAATTAAAGATAAAAATGGCAATCACATGCTTTCTTCCCAGTCACCATTTTATTGATTTTTATCATCTATTACAATAATAATGATAGAAATGAAGAAGAAATATG